GTACGTGTGTGTGGCGCCGTGCAAACATGGTGTGCGTGGCGTAGTTGCTGTGATGGGGTGAGGAGGATGTGGGGGGAGGGAAGAAGAAGGGTACGTACGACGTTACTGCAGGTGAGAGTCGCCACAGCTAGGTGCACCTGCCTCCTCTCTTTGTTTGCGTTTGTATTGTCATTCCTACCTTTCGTTCTCTCTTTTTCCAAGGTGATTTTTAACTCGACTAAAAAATCTCCCACCTTTCTTCGACTCTTGTTCCATGCATTTCATTTCAATCTCATTCCCCTTCCACACCTTCGCATTCTCATTACATTTTTTTTGCTTTCATCATCCTCACTTCATCTCTATCTCTTTCTTGTTTCCAATAATTTTCATTATGCCTGAACCTAGCAACTACGCCAAGCAACACTTAGCAAATACACCTAGCAATTTCACCTAGCCACTAGCACCTACACCGTTTTGGCCTGGCTGTTGCGAGGCATCTGCATGTCTCACCCCTATATTTGCTTCTCCTCTACACTCGTTTCTTCACTCCACTTGCTCTTCCCCTGCACTTGCTCTTCCCCTGCACTTGCTGTTCCCCTGCACTTGCTTCTCACTGCACTTGCTTCTCATTGTACTCACTTCTCCCCTACACTAACCTCTCCCCTTCACTGCGCTGTGTGCTCTTCACTAGTCATTGCACTTCCCCCATCTCCAGCACTGTCGGAACACTAGACGCCCTTTTAATAGCCGTTTGAATAATATTCGTTCTCAAACTAGTCATTTGTACTCTAGCTATTTACGCAATAACCACTTGTAAGAGTACTTTAGGCGAGTAATAGGCAAATATTTGGGGGAAAAGTAATTGCTCTAATACTTGGAGTCTATCAGATACGAATCCAAGTCGAATAGTTCCGAATACGAGTCGAATACGAATCGTATTCGAGTATCTTGTCATGTTGCATTTTTTGCATATGCGCATTGAGTATGGGACGCATATTTAGACCATGACGATGCACGGTCAACTCTTCATGTAGGTAGCGATGACCACAGGTGTAAACGGTGTGTATGAGATGCCATGGTGTCCTACCACGATACCTCATTCCAGTCCGCCCTTACTTGTCCCCGCCACATTGGCCACCACACCGTTGCATGCTAGGTGTGAGTTTGCCTCACACATTTGAAGTCCATATCCTAACGAAGTTGCATAGGTATTTGTTCGTGCTTTCACAGCCTTTCCTCCATGTATGGCCATGCATGAAAGTACTATTCGAATAGTTGACTACTCGTAAAATAATCCTCTCAAGTATTTGCCGAATCCGAGTATTTGACGGTCGAATAGTATCGAGAATCGGGGTGGTATTCTACTCGCCAAATACCCCATAAACGAGTCGAATACGAATACTATTTGAATACCGTGCTATTCATTTTCCCCCTTACACGCAACCCTTCCTATTTCCCTCTTATGTTTTTGTTCAAGGTTTGATATAGGTGATTGGACCCTTCTCTTTCCTCCCCTCTTTACTTCATCTCTCTCCTCTTTCCCTTTCGTTTTCCTATGTTTTTACCTCTTCTTCACCTTAAATTGTCCTTTATTTCTCTTCATTCTAATCATTTTCATCCTTTCCTTTGCCTCTCTCCACCCCATTGCTTCCTCTTCGCACAAAGGAACGCCTTTGCCATTTATCCTCCTCTCATCTTAGGCCCTCCTTTCTCCTTATAACCATCTATGCATTTCCCCCAATCAGCTTGTACCATGTAGCATTCATGCTTGGTTTCTTATGCATGTTTTTTGCAACAATTCTTTGTTTGAACCTTCTTGTCCATGCTTTGTTTCAACCAAAAAAAAAAAAACAAAAAAAACAACAACAACAACAACATATACGTGCGCTGCCACATTAGACGGCGGGGAGGAGGAAGTGCGGAGGGGAAAAGGGTGAGGGGGGTTGTGGGGGTCGCATATTGGATTTGAAAGGGGAGGGAGGGAAGGAGAAGTGGAGCCGGAGAGGAGGGGAGGAGGAGAGGAGGGAGGGATGAATAGGGTAAACAAGGGGGGGGGGGGTGGGGGGGAGGGTCAATGTATTAGCTTGGTCAGCAATACTGATATGTATATAAACTTATTCTATCTTTTGGCTGATTTGCTTTGCGATGCATCGCTTGTGTGCTCTTTGAATCTGTATGCATCCATCATGTGTGATTCTTTTCGTTTCTTCTTCATACATGTTTTCGTTGTGTCTGTTCGATTATGTTATTCTTGTTCTTGCATACTACGTGGGGTTCTGTTTGTCCATCGTTGTGTGGGATTTTGATCTTAACGAATCTCTATTTGTATTGGAGGGATGTGTTTGAAAATTTTGGCATATATTGTGATTTGTGATACCTCGTGTGTGTTGGCATGCCGTTGGCGCACTCTGTTGCAATTTGTTGGGTGCACATGTGCCGTTTTGGTGTCCGTGCATCAGGGTGGGGTGCATATATGCCAAGTGCTACACACAACTCGAGATTGTCGTTGTCAATTCGACAGCTTTGCTCCCAAAGTGTACATGTCGATCTCGGCTGCAGCATAGAAGCATTCGTGCATCCTCCTTGTTGCATGCATCACTACCTCTTGTGCGATTCAACGTGTGTGTTGGCACTCTGTTGGCGCACTCCGTTGCAATTTGTCGGGTACACATGTGCTATTTTGGTGTGCGTGGATCAGGACGGGGTGCATATATGTCAAGTGCTATACGCAACTCGATATTATCGTTGTCAATTTGGCAGCTTTGCTCCCAAAGTGTACATCTCAATCTCGGCTGCAGCATAGAAGCATTCGTGCATCCTCATTGTTGCATGCATCACTACCTCTTGTGCGATTCATCATGTGTGTTGGCACTCTGTTGGCGCACTCCGTTGCAATTTGTCGGGTACACATGTGCTATTTTGGTGTGCGTGGATCAGGACGGGGTGCATATATGTCAAGTGCTATACGCAACTCGATATTATCGTTGTCAATTTGGCAGCTTTGCTCCCAAAGTGTACATCTCAATCTCGGCTGCAGCATAGAAGCATTCGTGCATCCTCCTTGTTGCATGCATCACTACCTCTTGTGCGATTCATCATGTGTGTTGGCACTCTGTTGGCGCACTCCGTTGCAATTTGTCGGGTATAAATGTGCTATTTTGGTGTGCGTGGATCAGGGCGGGGTGCATATATGTCAAGTGCTAGACGCAACTCGAGATTGTCGTTGTCAATTTGACAGCTTTGATCCCAAAGTGTGCATGTCAATCTCGGATGCAGCATGGAAGCATTCGTGCATCCTCCTTGTTGCACGCATCATCGTGCAATATGTGCCTCTTGTGCCTCTATATTGCGGGCATCAAGGAGGAATTGCACAACACCCCAACGGGTCTCTCGACAGCAATATGCGTGCTTATTGTTTTTATGCGAGACGTACTATTCATTTGGTCTTGCACGTTTTTAATGTTGTCGGAAACTGCTTGTGCCACCCATATTTTACATCAGCCATGATTATCGACGATAGAAAAGTAGGAAGCATGAATGTTTTTGACAACTTTCGTGAAGTTGTTCGCGATTATTATGTGACGCACATGTAATTTGTAATGATCGTGTATGCACTCTTTTTTTCTTCCATCTAATTTGGTGGTGGAATAATTGTGTACGAAATCGACAAGCACGGACACATGTGCCGGCCGATATTTTGTTATGAATCTTACTTAATATTGGGACAAGAGTTATAGTTGTGGTTTTCTACGAATGTTTGCGATCTATTAATCTTCAGAGCGGTGAGGTTTTCAACTATTTCTCACCATAAAATGTGTTGGTTGGAAAATAATGCCTACGTTTGTTTTTTTTTTTCAGAAATCGTACTAAAAGAACAAATCAATTTGTTATAGTCAGAGAAACGTTAAAAACGGGTTGGGGAGGGCGAGAAGGTTGGTGCCTAGTGAAGTTTCTTCTTTATGGGCCAATATCATTTTCAGTTGTAATTTGCTCTTAAAATTGGAATACGAGAAGAATCCTAGAGGCGTCTAGACTGGTGCCCGACAAAAACATACCAATTCTGTAGGGTTGCTACGCAACCCAAAACTTCACATAAATTCCGTTGGCAGCAGGTTTGTAAGTGCTGTGAAGTACGGATTACTCTCGAGTTCAGTGACTGTACAGTAAAGCCTTGCAGCTCGTTTCATTACCCTCGTTTCAAGCCTTGTAGTACTGTATCCCAGGGATGACTATCCACGAGCTTGAATTCATCGGTCAGCAGGCAGGACTGTTTGGTCTGGAAGCACCTTGAAATCTCTTCGGGCGTGTTTTTAGTAGGTGTCATCCCGAAAAAAGTGTCATCCGAGAATGCTGGAAACCCATCATAACCGTTTTTCAAAACTTCAACGATGGGTTTCCAACATTCTCGGATGACACTTTCCCGGGATGACACCTACTAAAAACAGGCCCTTAGGACCAACCAGCCAAGTCTTGATTCGTTCATGAACGCTGACGCAGAATGTTTCATCGCCTACCCCATGGCTGGGATGGGACCAGGCCTCTCAATAACCTAGGGGTCACCCTGCAGAATCCGAGTTTGCCCGGGATCCAGCTTGTCCAGGCTGGGTATCCCAAAAACTTTTGACTGTTTTTGCAGGCCAGAGTTTCGACCTGCTCGGAATGTGCCACTCCTGACAATGACAGGGAAGAGCCATTTTTTCTAGGGGTGCGAACGTTTACATTAGATTTTTCAGGGTGAGTCCATCCCCTATTCGAAAATCGGCCGTGGGATGATTCTGGCTTGCCTGTTCATGGACGGGTATCGATATTCTGAATGCATCAAAAGTAGGGCTACGTCGAAATTTCACTCTGTTTTCCTTGATGAAGCAGTGTAATTACCCTGACTTCCAGAGGCCTGGATGCGACTCCCACAACACCACCTGAAGAAATCCCTTCCCCAAACACGCTTCGCTGAATCGCTCGCACCCCTCCCCTCCAAATTTCTGTACGTCGTACCACCACCCTGTCTCGAATCTCAAGGACCCCACAGATCCATTCGGAGACCGTGGCACCAGCCATGCCAGCAGAGCTGGGATCAGCAGAAGGGTCACTCACTAGTCGCAGCCTCAGCGGCCTGGCCAGTCATAGTATCATCCACCCCCTCCTCTTGAATTCGCAATAGATTTCCCTCTAAAAGCTTCAGGTAGTAGAGGGGAAGAGGAAGAAAGAGCCGGACTATGCGGGGCTGTCAGTGCCTCCTACCGCCCGTACTTGGAGCACCTTGTCCCTTTAGTGAGGTTCAGACGCGCTGCATGTCATGTGGGCACTGTAAGAGCAGTCGCATCGCAAGGTAAAAAAACTTTGGTCGGTAGGAAATATGAGACGCGGGCTTTAACTGGCTCAGAGAGCGGGTGGGAGAACAGGAGACAGTTGTGCAAGCTAGGCCTGCTGAGGCTTTAGTATCTAGCATACTCGTGCCCTTCAGCAACAGCATCGCAGCGGCCAGGCCGCAGCAAGCAACAGCTCGCACCATTGGCAGCAGCCGCGACGAGCTTGGAGGCGGTGCGTTGAGAGCAAGGCGCAGCGAGGCAGGCCCAGGCAGGCCGCCTAGTACTGTTGAGAAACCCGTTGCCACTACCGTTGCCTCCGAACATGTTCCGCATGTTACTGCGGTGAGGCAACGAGCAAACAAAGAGAGACAACCTCCGCGCAACGCGTCTGTTGCTCGACGAAAGGATCACCCAAGCCGCGGCTCGCGTCGCGCGACGACGACGAAGACGCTTGGCTGGAGGCCTCACTCCCCGCGTGGCAAGGAGATCTGCTCGAAAGCGCGCTTCTTTCGCCGCCTCCCTCCGGCAGTCCCCGCCGGCTGTAGCGTTGCGTTCCGCCAAAGGCGTATCATGACGGCGTCCGCGCGACTGCGCTCCCCAGATCGGCCCGTGTCGTAGGCCCCCAAGCATTGCCTCCCCCTTCTCCCCCTCTCCGCCCATCTCGTTTCCACCCCGCGCAGACGGCGCGTCCTTCCCGTCCGCAACCTCCTCCCGCGCCGTTTCGTGTTGGCGGGCAGGAGTTTGCCCGGATCACTTGAAAACCCCTGGCGAAAGGAGTAGAAGGATTTATTGCGGCGGAAGGATGGCGGCCGCTTTCCCCGCTCATCCCGAGTTAACTACCTCCGCCGTGCCCCAGACGCCCGGCGCCGTCTTTTGGTCCGACGATCCCGGCTCCGCCAGGCTCAACGCCTCTGCAACCGCCGGCGCGAATGGCGGCAGCGGCGGCAGCACGGCGCTTGTGTACCCCGCGACGGACGGGGGCGGCATGGCGCAGGTCTTCCCCTCCTCCGCCGACGGCAAACCCGCGGGATCGCCCCCCGAACCCATCCATGGGCCGCCGTCGTCGCTCCACGTCATTCCCGAGGTGTCTCTGGCCGTGGTGGTGCTCGTGCTCGTGCTGCTCGTCTTCCTGCTGCTGCTGCACCGCTACCGCTACCGGCTGCACGTCTCGTGCTTGATGGCTTGGGAGGCACAGCTTAACGGCGAAGGGCGGAGTGGAGGCGGCCAGGGGAGTGAATGGAGCAGCAGCAGCAGGGATGGCGGCGGTGCCTTCCTTGCTGGCAGCGCTCGCAGCAGCAGCAACAGCAGCCGGAGGGGCGGGGAGGGAGCAAGAGGCACGGGTCGAGGCGGCATGTCAAGTATCCGCCTGGGAGGCAATGTTGAAAGTGCAGGCAGGGGAGCACGGAGAGATGACAGTAACGAGTGGATGCACGTGCTTCTGGACGTGCATGGCTTTCGAGAGGCGATGGGAGAAAGAGAGTTCTACGTTAACTCGGGTGGGTTGGGTAGAGGGTATCACCGCGGTGCTCGTGGATATGGCGACGGACGGGGGGGCAGAGGAGGCAGGAGGGTCTCGTCTGGGCTTGATCTAGCGACTATCAACTCCTTAGGGGTGCTCACGGTGTTTGAGAGGGGCAAGAGCCGGGTGAAGTGTAGCATGCGGGTCAAGGATAGTGGCACAGTGGAGGTGGTAGTGGAGCAGACAGGGAAAGGCGCCACACGGGAGGTGGGAGACGGGAGGAGGGAGATTGAAGAGCCGGAAGCGTGCAATGCGGAAGTGGTTGGCGCTCCCGACGTGAGCCCAGGAGGGCGAAAAGCGACTGGCACACGCGCTTTACAGGGAGAGAGGGCTGGGGAGATCACAGCGCCGCCATTAGAATCCGAACCAGCCGGCTTGCAGGCAGGGGCGCACGACCAGCAGGCAGGCGTAAAAGATGGTGAGGAGGGTGCGAGAGCAGCGCACGGCGTGGTGGGGAATGGGTGGTCGTGCGTGGCCATCGACGTGCGCGTGCGCGAGGCGAGATGCCGGCACGGCAGAGGCATACACAGAGGGGATCATTTGGGCAGGTGTGGGTGTGACGGCACGTGCCATGAGGAACAAGGGAGGGCGACGGCAGGTGGGGGGTCAGAGCAAGGGCTACCGGAGGGCTTGAGCAATGGGGGCACCAGGGAAGGGTCAGTGCGTGAGAGCGAGGTGGTAGTGAGCTGCGAGGATGGGGAGTGTGCCGTGTGCCTGTGCGAGTACATGGAAGGGGACGTGCTGCGCACACTCAACAAATGCCACCACCACTTCCACCAGGTCAGCGTGACATCACCGTCAGGTAGCGGGTGTTTGTTGCACTGTCTTGGTGGTCTTGCGTAATATGCAGATTCCTTACGAGCCTAGAGGCATGCACAGGTGACTATCGACCATTAGCATGCACTCTGCCGCCTCCCTCCACTATCGTTTGCTGCACACGTCACCTCCAACCCCCTGCAACCCCTCCCACCCTATCATTGTTGCTCCCCTCCTCCAAGTGCAGGCGTGCATTGACGAGTGGCTTTCAAGCAGCACGTCGTGCCCCCTTTGCCGCACTGCCATGGTGCCTGAGCGATTTCTCTTCCACCAGCCGCGAGAGGAAGCAGCGCCCTTTGCACCAGCAATGCTGCCACGACCACTAACGGTAGCAGGAGCAGCTGCCGCGCAAGCGGCAGCAGCAGCAGGTGGAGTTGTGGCGGTATCTGGTGCGGCAGCAGCAGCAGCTCCCCCTCTGCGTCACCCACAGACCACGCTCCTTGCTGTGCACCCGTCGATTTCTGACCCCTTGACGCTGCCAGGAGGAGGTGAGCCAACCACACAATCCCTCACCCAGCAGCAGGGGCAGCTGGATGAGCAGCAGCGCGAGGTGACACAACCGATCCTTGCGGACCAGGCAGGGCTGGTGGAGAGCAGGTCAGAGCACAGTGGTGGGGAGGAGCAAGGGCAGGTGCTGGGGCAGGCAAGCGTGGAGCATGGAGGAGCAGCAGCAAGAGGACCGAGAGGTCAAGAGCAGCAAGCAGAGCGGCCAGTTGCTGAGGCTAGGCAAGGGCAGACACACGACGAGGGCATCCAGTCTCCTGTCAGCCCTGCTGCTGCTACAGTACTCCATATGGGGCCAGGAGAGGAAGTTCAGCAAGTTTCTGTGCGTTCAGTCCTTAGCTGGATCTGGCTGGCAGCAGCTCGTCTTGCTGCTCTAGGGCTCAGTAGGTGAGTAGGCAGGCGCAGAGCCCAAACTGGACCTACTGGGTTTTGTTCCATGTACCGGTCCGGTACCATGTTGTGATGTAGCATGTTGTCATTCTTATTTCTTTATGTCATGTTTAGGTTGCATTGTACGGTATGAAAAAGTTGTTGGAGAATGGGCCTGATGGCGTGTCGCAAACATACATTAGAATGTGGTCCAGAGAGTGGGAATTTTCAAAACAGCTAGAAAGGTTGAGAAGGGTAGAGAGCGAAAACTAATGCTTGGGACACGCCCTAGGAGGTGTCCCCAACCCAATGGGGTGCCTTGCATTTTCTACTCGGTACCTCATTTTAAGCGGAACGCACGAATTGCGTATAGTGACTTATCTTCACCTTGTTTTAACTATTTCCAAATCCTAACCTCGCTAGTAGCACCCGTTCTGGTCCGGCGGAACACCAGCCATCAGTTGGAACCATCCACCTTGCGCCACGTCATGCTTTGAAACCTGCCCTCTACGTAAGCCACTTGAAAAGAGCAAGGTTAGTGGTGGAGAGTCGGGGCAGGAAGTTGAAAACGAGGTGGGGCAGCAAGGAACAAACTCATTCGCTGCTCTGCGAAGGGCCAGAACTCCTGCCTCTCGCTAACAGAGTAATTACCCTTAATTTCAAGAAATTAATAGTAATATTTCGAGAGATTCCGTTTTTTTACGGTACGATTTTTCCCTGAATCTGTCCAACTTACGGATACAGATTCGTACGATTCCTTAGCCTAAGGAGTAACCTTGTTTCGAGTCTGTACGGGCTATACTTCTAATAGGGCAATCTGTAGGGGATAGCGACCCCCACCACAACCTCCCCAACACAACGCCACCCATACCCCCCCCCCCCCCCCTCGCATGTGATTCTTTGCTAGCCGAATTTGTGGCAGCCGATTCCTTTGGTTAACGGGTTTTTTCGGTAACGGTTTTTTCCCGTCTGTTAACGGGTAATCCAGAGGCGATTCCGTGTCCTTCCGGTGTACCCTGGGGCTTGGCGAGAGGCCTGGCCCAGGAGCAGCGGCACAAATGGTGATGTCACAAAAGTTTAGCGCGGTCAATTACGTTTCCGAACGGTACAGGACATCACTGAGAATGCACAACTCGAGTTCCTCCCCACCCCACCACACCATCGTGCTCGCACACCAAACGCTACATAATTCTGTGAGGAGCTTGCGATACGAGTTTGTGCTCTTTCCGCCCGCACTTCCCACTTTTCCGATCCGTTTGTCTTGCTTGTAGGTTTTTAGGCCGAATTTGACATGTGTAGTCCTATCACGCCTCCAGCGATCTGACTGCACTCTCTGCCTGGAATTAGCCAGGATTTCCCCGCGTGTTAGCTCGTCAAGGCTGCGGCAGAAATAGTCGATCTGTTTTTTCGCGCATGAAAAGACATCTGTATCGAGAAGTTCCACCAGCTTTCAGCGTGTGTCAAATGTTTGTTCGAACTAAAGATTCTCTGATCTCGTCCCTGTCGAACGCACTAGTGATTCCTTGAGGCAACGATTCAAAGCGGCTCCTTAGGCGGTTCACTAGTGATCCCTTGAGCGTTAAGGAGGCGTCGTCAAGTCTCCGGTTGGGCCCGCTCCTCGTGCCGCTGTTCACCCCCGTGTTGGCTGCGCCTCGTGTGGCTGTGTCGACCAGCGAGCTGTCCTTATGGTAGGTGTACTCGTGAGGTTTGATGCTTATGACGTGCGCTTTACGGAATTTGTGCTGTCCTCTTCGCCGCACGCTCCCGTCCCCCCTCGCGCACCCTCCTTTCCCCTTCCCACCGTTTCCCGCACCCGCGCACGCGCGCGCGCGCGCACACGCCCACACACCGCCGCGATATGCGTGTAGTATTCTATCTGGATACAGAAAGTAGTACAAGCAACGGCGCAAGAGCACGCACGAAACTGCCCCAAACTAGCCAAAGTATGGGAAGAGAAGACAAGCAGCCTTGCCTTGGCAGGCCAGATCCATCACCTTTCCTTTGCCAAACGCCCCCTTACTCCCCCCCCTCCCCCTTCCCCACCACCCCCGCCCCTTTCCCTCGTCCCTTTTTCGCTCTTCCGCCGTGAATGTGTATTTTTTACTCCCCCAGGCGGCAAAGATCATAGCGAACCTCATAGTGCTGGGCTCAGGCATTGTCATCCGGGCCTTCACGCAGGCCTACCAGCAAGCGCTTACCAGTGAGTGAATGCGCTAGCACAAGCATCAACCTTGCTCGCACGCTGCTGCCGTGCTGCCTGTTGTGCTGGCAAATGCATGCCACTGGTGTTGCCGTAGGCAGGCGGCTCTTGACCACTTTATTCGTCCACTGCTTCACTTTTAGTGCTCTTATCGTTCCTTGAAGGATTGCTTAGTCGAATACCCACAGTGCTTTTCCCTTCACTCTGCTTCCGTCTCTCTTCTTTACCTGTACCATCGCCCCACTCCCCATCCCTTTTAGCGCTTCTAAATTGACCATAACCATGGGAGCAGCCCGAGGCGGGTCCCTCTAAACGGCCCTCAACGCAAACCTCCCCCCTGTGTTTGTGACTGTGCGGCCCGGCTCGCCCCTCAGATGCATCTCGCAGCGGGGTGGCACAGGAAGCAGCAGCAACGGCATCGCGGCGGCTGTCAAAAATAATGACCATCCAGGAGGCGAGGATGATTCTGGGGGTCACCGAGGAGACGCCCTGGGAGCAAGTGCTGGAGGTAGGGGAAGGGAGGGATTGAGAGTTGCAGGGATTAGCAGATGCGAGGCTGGAATGGTGGGGCGGATGCAGGTGCTGGGAAAGTTGCAGGGAAGACTCCGTTTGTTGGTTGGGACGTGGGGGCGTGCTTATGTGTGGGGCCCTTTCATTCAATGACCGTTTCTCCTTGTTGCCCTTCCACTGTTCTTCTTATCCGTCATTGCTACTTGGCAGAAGTACCAGCGGTTGTTTGAGCGTAATGAGAAGATGGGGTCATTCTATGTTCAAAGCAAGGTGCAGAGGGCCAAGGAGTGCTTGGAAGCAGCAAAGAAACAGGGTGATCAACTCTCCTAACACGCTCTGCTCCTCTTGTGAACAACACATGTGAGTATATTCCTATGGAAGCTGCGAAAACAGGCGGGATCGGAAGCTATACTCGACTCGGGCCGAAGTCTTTCAGATGTGTGCTTCTGTTGTGCTGCCAGGATGGCACTCTGCTGTCAAAACACCTGATTCCCGATTAACAGAAACGGAGCCACTCTGTAGGGTTGGTAGACTGTCCACTAGTGTGAACTAGTGTGGGATGTGGCCATGATGTTTAGGAAGGTGGCCAAGGAATGTGTTTAGCGGCCATTGACTCTCTTTAGTGTGTTGGTGCGTGATAGGCTTGTGCAGCCCCGCATCTCTAGTGTTCTATTATGGGGGATCGTGTTGAATGCCTGCCAGCCCATGGAAATTGTCATCTAACGAAAACGTTTTTTTGTGACCAACAAACAATGGGGTATTTATGAAGGAAATGTGGGCCGTTTTATGAATGAATGTCGATGGGCACACACTGTATATGATCACTCTTTAGGTCATGATATCCTGATGACGAAAGCTTCATTATGTGGAATGCGTTTGGACTTTGAATCAACAAGCTTGGGTGCTAGTGTAGTTTTATTTCGTCTGGGCTGTTTTGAGGCCAGAGACCGTCCAAGCTCTACATCGGGTTTTCCAAGCCCACAAACGAGTCTGCTGGCAACTGCTCCGCCAAGGCACCCTGCCTTGTCCCGCGCAAAGTCGCATCTTATCGCACAGGCCGCTTCCACATCAGAACAGAAGCCAATCACGGTACGAAACGGGTGGACCCCGTCGCATTTTCTTGGTCCCTTGGCCGTCGCCCCACCCCAGCGAACACGGCTCAGAAAGACAGAACTGAGCTGCGGTTTGTGCGAGCAGTCGTCGAGGTGTCAGAAGCGCGGGAGCAAGCCCTGCAGCATCCATGCCATGCCCTAGAGACTGACGCCAGCCAAACCTAGGAAGTGACGGAAGGAACGAGGGCAGGCGAGAGCAGCAGCAGCAGCTGTTGCAGATAAGGGAGAGTTGCTGCGGTTGTGTGAGACGTGCCGATTCCTATACCCATGCTTCTGGGGTCCCTCACTCTCACCATTCCAGAACATTGGGATGAGTAGATCTAGGCATCGCATCTTGCCATGAAGTGAACACAGACGTAGGGATACAACAGCAGCGATTAGTCTGCACATGTTCTTAACGAACCTAATATTGTTAGTTGCTTTCGCCAAGCCCATCAGATTGGGTGTCAAAAACTGATTTACCATGGTGAGATTGCAGACACGTATGTTAGCTTTTGCCGCAAGATGAAATGCCGTGTGCTGAAAGGCGTTACTGTCCTTCGGTCCAAAGACATAGCTCCGTGCCATTCATCGTACATCACTCTTCCTCTTGATACCACGTCTCCGCACCTTCGTACGTTGAGTTCCGAAATAGTTACCCTTTCGCCTCGGCGAGCACGCATGAGTTGGCGAATCTCTTCTATCTCTTCCAATTTCCTTTCCACTCTCGTCTCGTGGCCGTGCAGGATGGGGGTGACGGAGCGGTCTCCGAGCTGCTCGCTCGGTTTCAAAAGGTGAGTCAACGCCGCTGCTCTTCCATTCTTCCTGAGTCACCGCTCTCACATCGCGTCGCGTAAGGAATGGATTGTTGTGTCCTTTAGCTACCGCTTGTAGCCTTTTTTCGATGGATATGCTTACGGGTTGACTTCCGTCCATGCTCTCCTTCCTCGTGCTGCCCCGTGTGGTAACCACGGAAACACAGCGGGATCAATCGCATGTGTAGTTACCGCAGTGGGATTCGCTCCTTCGGTTTGTTTTTGTGGAATCCACATGATTCAACCCACCGTGCTCATTGCCCCGCAATCGTCCCCCCTCTGCCACGCAGAACAAAACGCCGCGTGAGCCCGCTCCAGCCGATGCCTCGACGGCTGTAACTTCCAATCCGTTCAAAGTGCACCTCCGGGTAGGAATCTGCCTCTATCCCTGCTGCTGTAGTACTAACATGAGCAGGGGACAACGCGTGTGATGAACCGCGTGCTGAGGCACGTTCCTTCGTCGCCTGCAAGGCAACTTCGCGGTTTTATGAAGAGGATGCAAACGCGCGAGTCTTGTTCGTAGCTGAGACGTGTGGTTTGACCGGAGGTTGACGCTTTGTTGCCTGCCTGTTGCTGGATGTGCGAATGTTTGGGCGTTAACACGCTCGCCTCTGTACCGCCGGGTTGGTTGGCATGCCTCTTGGTGTTCATGCGTTGGCCGTGTGTGTGAATCTGCTCGCTGATGCCTTCCAGCACGCTGGCGACCACCACGAAGGCCACTCGGAGCAGAAAGACGAGGACGAGGAGGAGCGGAAGAAGGAGAAGAAGGAGAAGAAGGAAAAGAAAGAGAAGAAGGAGAAAAAAGAGAAGAAAGAGAAGAAGGACAAGGTGGGTGGAGAAGAGGAGGAGGATGAGAAGAAGAAGGACAAGAAGGAGAAGAAGGAGAAGCACAAGGAAGAACTTCATGCAGCGCACGAGGAGGCAGCGAAGGCAAAGGCAGAGCTGGAGGTGAGACTCGCATCCCAACGGCAAGCCATGACTTGAACGACAGGACTACGTCATGCCTTGTCCTTCTTAATGGTTTCTCCGCTACTCTGTTCGCCTCGTGCTGCGTCTCATCGCTCCTGCTCGTGTCATGCTTTGCGTTGGCGTTTCCGCGTCATCTCTCGCCTTATCAGGTGGTCCGTGGCCAGCACGACAACCTCGCGGCGCAGCTGAAGGAGCTCACGCAGCAGCAGGAAGCCAAGGACGCGGCAGCGGTGAGCGCCTGCCTCTGGCTCAAGGCGTTTGGTATAAGCACTTGACGTGCATTGCAGATTGCAGTACCTTGGATCCGCGCCGTGAAGCTCGGTTGGGCGGCTGGGCTGGGTAGACGGTAGGAACTCGCGCAGTCGCGCCAGAAGAATTCACTTCTTCTAGGCCTTTGTTATTGAGCTTACATTTCGTTCACTGCCTTTTGAATGGGAGACTCTATTTCTCGATTTCTCTATTTCTCTACCTCTCCTTTCCTGCTACTCAGCGCTCAGCAGTTGAAGCAGAGGCGGAAGCAGCAGCGTTGCGGGGACGGCTGAGTGAGGCGCAGGCGGAGGTCAGTGCGGCGCAAGAGAAGCTCAGCGCGTTGCAGGAGGAGCTGTCCGCTGTGCAGGAGGAGCTGTCTGCAGCCAAGGGGGAGCTATCCAGTGCGCAGGGGGAGCTGAATAGTGTGCGCGGGCAGCTGGAAGAGGCGCAGGCGAAAGCAGAGGCCCTGAGCCAGGCAGAGGGAGAGATGAAGGTAAGACTCAGGGTGAAGGGAAGAACGGGGTGAGGTGTACTGAAGAATCGGGTAGAGAGGCTGAGGTTGAGAAGACGGAGGCATGTAGTTCGGGAAGCGGGGGAGAACACACGGGTTCACAAATGGAAGGGTGGCATATTGATGTTTGGGGACGGCGATGGACTTACTACACATGAGCCACAGTGAACAACGAAGGTCTTACATCACTGCGATAGTATGCATAGAGGTGACCTCGCTGGGTTCGCCAGTGGCAGGAAACGGAGGGAGTTCTAGTCGGCAAGGCGGTGCTGCTTGATAGGCTTGGTCAGGCGGGATGTGGAATGTGCTAGGCTGTTCATACTCCCAGTCTCATGACATGTCGCCTGCGGTGTGTGTGTGTGTGGTGGTGCATTGGCTGCTGTGTGAACCTTCTGCGTCTGTGCGTGGGCTGAATGTGTCTGTGTTGCGTGGCACAGGAGGAGGTGGAGCGAGTGAAGGAGGCGGCAACAACAGCGCAGCAGCAACTGGAGCAACAGCTGGCAGCCAGAGACGCAGACATGCAGCAGCTGCAGGCGGATCTCAAGGTACCCACTCGCAACCGCTCGCTAGGCTTTCGTAATAGCTGATCTCTCCTGTCCTTGTACCAGGTTCCGTGCCTTAAGTATACGCCAGAGCCCAAGCAAGGAACCTACCATGGCCTCGTATTGCAGGCAGTTTTACATGGATGTGCATTCACGCTTGTGCGCTCGCCCCACAGGATCTGCAGAAGAAGCTGGAGGAAGGTGGCAAGCAGGCGCACGAAGAGGTAGGGCAGACAGAGGCGCGTGTGGACGACGGAGCAGCAGACGGTGCGTCAGCAGCGGCATTGAAGGCAGCTGAAGCGGTGAGTGCCCTTGCTTTGTGCCGTGGTCTTCTTTCCATGCTGTCATCTCATCTCGTAAGCGTTACACCAAGAGCTCAGTAGTGCCCAACTAGTCTCGTGCTGTCCTTCCCCTCCTCCTGTTTCTTCTGTTCGTCTACTTGCCGCTGTATGTGGACGTACGAATGCATGTGCTTGCGTACATATTTGTGGGCCTCTGACCACCCGGGTCCCCCTCACGTGCACAGGAGTTGGCGCGGCTGAGGGAGGAGGTGAGCGACTGGAAGGAGCATGCGGAGGAGATGGCGAAGGAGAAGCTGCAGAGGGAGAACGAGGCACAAGCCGAGGAAGAGCAGCGGCAGCACCTCGTGAGTGTCACCTGCTGCAGCTGACATCCCTTAACCACTGCTCCCATGGGCGGAATCTCTGGCACCTCTTTTCCCATCCCTGCTCTCCACCTGGACCGCCTCTTCCATTCCACCTCTCTCCCAATCTCCATCTACCTTCCATTTCCTGATGGCTTTTGGTCAATTTCCCTTTGTTCTCAAGCCGCCTCTGGTTCCAGTTCGCTTCTTTGCCTATCCGCTTGCGCCTCCGCCCTTTCCCCCGACTGTTTGTCCCTCTCACAGGAGCAGCAGCTGCAGGAGGCGAGGAAGGAGGTCGAGGAGCTGCGGCAGCGGAGCCAACAGCTGGAAGCGGCTGCAGGGACGGCAGGTGCCCCGCCGCAAGGGGCAGGCACAGCAGCTGCTGCGCAAGGGGTAGATAGGGCAGGGGAGGTAGAAGAAGGGCCAGGAGAAGCGGAGGTTGAAAATGATTTAGCAGAAGGAGGGGAGCATGCGGCAGTAGGGTTGGGGAAGGAGGCGGAGGCGGAGTGGAGGCGGCGCTTGGAGCACTTGGAGGGGCAGCTGAAGGCAGCAGAGGCACGGGCTGCCTCCCTGGAAGCAGCTGTGGCGGCTGGCGGGGCAGAGGCGCAGGCCAGTTCTCAGCGCACTGCTGAGGATGGTGGTGGGAACGATAGTGGGAAGGACGAAGAGGAGAGAGAGCGAAACAGTACAGGAGAGGGGGACAATGATGAGGAGGTGGCAGATGGGGAGAGGGAGGAAGCAGAGGGTGAGGAAGCAGAGGGTGAGGATGGGTCTAAGAATGCTTCTGATGAGAAGACACGTGCAGCGAGTGTAAGTGGGTCAGCAACAGCCGTGGCGACGGCAGCAGCCGCAGCAGCAGCAGCAGAAGGTAGAGAGGAGATAGACTTGGCGGGCGCGCTAGCGCTGGTGGACGAGCTGCAGGCGGAGCTGGAGGCAGCGCGCGTGGAGATGCAGCAGCTGCGGGACGCGGAGGACGAGCTGCAGGCCAAGGTGCAGGCGCTTGAGGAGGAGAAGGAGGACGTGGCGCGCGAGCTGGAGATCACGAGCGAGGACCTGAGGAAGGAGCGGGACCTGGCAGCGGAGGCAGGGCTCGTGGCCGAGGAGGAGTGGCGGAAGAGACAGGAAGCTGAGCGCGCCAAGAAGGAGCTGGAGAGAGAGCTGGCTAAGAAAGGTGGCACCGGTGGTGCAACTTCTGCTGCTGCTGGGGGTGCGGCACAGGGGGCGCACAAGGAAGGGGAGGATGGGGCACGGAAGAAGGAAGGCGCGGAGGATGGCAGGCGTGCGGATGGCAGTGGGGGAGATGGGGCAGCAGACGGGCAGGATGGGGACGATGGGATTCGGGAGCCGTCAGCCGAGGTTTGTCAGGTGAATCTGAAGCTGGAGCTGTCCGAGATGCGGCGCGAGGCACAAGGAATGCGCCTCAAGCTGCACAACTCCAAGCTCGCCCTCACTTCCGCTGAGGCCGAGGTGGTTAGGCTGACGGTGCGTGTGGCGTTTGCGCGCGTGCTGCTGCAGCTGGTGTCAAGGTCGCGCGAGATGCATGAAGACGAGCTGATCATGGCGACGACCATGGTGGAGGAGGCCAAGGTGAGGGAGAGCGCCGTGGAGCGGAACCTCTTCTCGCTGCTCAATGAGATCGCTCGCCTCATCAAGGAGCAGCAGATGCAGGCCAAGAACAACGGCGCCACGTACCTCAAGTATAAGATAGGGCCGGCGGAGATAGAGGCGGTGAAGGAGGACCTGCGACAGCTGGTGCGGTGGGTGCAGACCAAGGCCACGCTCGCCGAGAAGGGGCGCCAGAAGAACAGGGCTGCACGGGTGGGTGCTGCAGGCGTGGCAGACGCAGCGGCAGCAACAGCAGCTGCGGCGGCTGCTGCCAATGCAGCAGCGACGCGCGCGAGTGTAGAGGCACTGAGGCGGGGCGGGAGTGTGGGAGTAGGAGGGGAGAGTGGTCGCGACTCAGCGGTGCATGGGGGCCCAGAGATGGTGGTGCAGCTGGAGAGGGAGCTGGAGGAGGCGAAGGCGCGGTCAGAGGAGGCAGAGAAGCTGCATGTGATGGTGGAGGGCGTGCGGGAGAAGGAGAGGCGCACGCGCGAGGAGGTGGAGCGGGAGCTCCGCGCGGCACAGGCCAAGGTGGCGGAGGCGGAGATGATGGTGCAGCAGGTGGACGCCCTGCGCAACACGGCGTCTGTGCTGGCGGCGGAGCTGACGGAGGAAGTGAAGGAGACCAAGGTGAAGATGCTGGAGGCGGAGGAGGTGGAGGGGCGCATCACAGCGCTGGAGGCCACGGAGAATGTCATCAAGGCGGATCTAGAGGTGAAGAGCCTGCGCCTGAGGGAGATCGACCGCGACTACCCGTACCTCATGGCGCAGGTGGCGGCGGACGGCGCGCCTGCCAAGCCGCGCGGGTCCATCTTCTCCCTGGGGCGCAGCTCCGCGGAGGCCGCAGCGGTGGCGGCAGCGTCGGCAGCGGCCAAGGAGAGGAAGCGGCTGCTGGACGAGATCCGAGTGATGCGTGAGCAGCTCATCTGGACGCAGGGCTCGCTCACTAAGAGCCGCCAGCGCCTGCCCGAGCTCTACCAGGTGGGTCATGGGGCAGAATGTGTCCTGGCCAGGTTCATGCATCCCTAGTCCTGTTCCTTGTTTTACCGCTCACCTGTCTGCACTGTCTGGTCGCTCCTTCCTCATATCCATGTGCTGGCCTCGTCCCTCTACCGCAGGAAGCGAAGGAGTGCAGGCGCAAGGTGGAGGAGAAGGAGCGGGAGGCGAAGCGGGTGCGGCAGTGGCTGGCAGAGCACGAACCTATCATCGCAGCCAACCAGGCCAGGCAGGCGCAGACTGCTGCTGCCGCTGCCGCCCTTGCTGCCTCTGCTCCTTCTCGCCCTGCTCCTGTTGCTGCTGCTCCTGCTGCTCCTGCTCCTGCTAGTGTGAGCAGCTGGGGCTTTTCAAGTGACGCCAGCTATAGTTCTGCCAGTGGCGGTGCTGGTGGTGCAGGGAGCGGCATGACGGTGCCTGCTGGGCTGGCATCTGCACGGGTGGTGGTGCCATCAGCCACGAGCTCTGTGGGTGCGGCTGTGGCCAATGCTGCCCATGTGGCAGCAGCCATGGCTGCCGCAGCAGCAGGTGCAGACGAGGGGCGCACAAGGAGCAGCAGCACGTGGAGCTGGTGGAAGAAGGTGAGCAGCTGGTGCTGGGACTCTCTTCAGTTCTCTCTTGCTGTGCATCTCCCGTCGCCCCGCTGCCCCCAATCACTCTTGACCTGAGTCTGTATCTCTTGTGCATTCTTCTCTGTGCCTGGTTCGGCCTCTCCTGATCTCCTCACAATGGAGTGTGCGACACCGCCTCATCTGTGGTTGCTGCTGCCCCATCCATCTGTCCGCATCCCCTATGTGCACAGAAGGAGGAGCCGGAGCAGGCAGAGGAGGAGTTTGAGGAGCCAGCGCGGGAGCAGATCATCATGCTGCCGCCGCTCACCAACGACAGCGTGCTGTCCAGTGCCATAGCCGCCTTCGCCAAGGCCAATAGCACCACCAAGATCTCCCCTCTTCAGGCGCCCGCGCCTCCTCCCCCCACTCCTTCTGGGCCACCCCGCATGGCCCAAGACCTGCCCCCTCCTGCCCTTCCCACTTCCCCTTCTCCTGCTCCTGCTCCTGCTCCTGCTGCCCCTTCCTCTCCCCCTGCTGCATCGCCAGTTCCTGCTGCTGATGCGGATGCCGCTGCTGGTGCCGCTGTTGATGTTGATGCTGCTGCTGATGCTGCTGTTGATGGTGATGCTGATGCTGATGCTGCCGCTGATGCTGCTGCTGATGCTGATGCTGATGCTGATGCTGCCGCTGATGCTGCTGCTGATGCTGGTGCTGATGTTGATGCTGCTGCTGCTGCTGCTGCTGCTGCTGCTGCTGCTGCTGCTGCTGCTGCTGCTGCTGCTGCTGCTGCTGATGCTGCTGCTGCTGCTGCTTCCAGTGAAGAGAGGGCCGAGGAGGGAGAAAGTGAGGGAGGAAAGAAGAGAGAGGAGGAGGTGGAAGAGGAGGAGGATCATAGGAAGCAAGAGTGGGAAGGTAATGTGGAGAGTGAAGCTGCGATGAATGAAGGAGCAAGTGGAGGAGAGGGGAGCACGGTAGAGGAAAGCAAGGAAGAAAAGAAGGTGCACGGATTGGAAGAAGAGGTGAGCGAGGAGGTGGAGGGCAAGGTGGAGGAAGGGCAGGTGGGAGGAGAGGAAGAGGAGGCCCATCTGCAAGCGGTAGAGGAAGGTGCGGATGCAGCTGCACAGCAGGCTCTAAGCATAGCTGAAGCTGTTCAGGAGGCAGAGGCAGATGCAGCGGGGGAGGTAGAGGCAGAGACGAAGGGAGAGGCAGAGACAGAGGCAGAGCAGGCTGCTGCCGCTGTTGACTCGCCAACCAGTGAGGCAGCAGATGGCGGTGCTGATGCCACAACGGCTGGGCCACCTTCAATACCTGCGGTTGCTGATGTCTCTTCTGATGTGGCTGCTGCTTCTGATACATCTGCTGGTGTTGCTGCTGCTGCTGATGTGCCTGCTGACGTGGCTGCTGCTGCTGATGATGTCTCTGCTGATGTGGCTGCTGTTGCTGCAACTGATGTCGCTGCTGATGTGGCTGATGCTGCTGATGCCTCTGCAGACGTGGCTACTGATGATGATGTGGCTGCTGCTGCAGCAGCAGCTGATGTCTCTGCTGATGTGGCTGCTTCTGCTGCTGATGTCTATGCTGACGTGGCTGCTGGTGATGATTTCTCTGTTGATGCGGTTACTGCAGCAGTTGATGTCTCGGCTGATGTGGCTGTTGCTGCTGATGTCTCTGCAGAGGTGGCTGCTGATGATGATGTGGCTGCTGCTGCAGCTGATGTCTCTGCTGACGTGGCTGCTGCTGCTGCTGATGTCTCTGCTGACGTGGCTGCTGGTGATGATTTCACTGCTGATCTGGCTGTTTCTGCTGATGTCTCTGCAGAGGTGGCTGCTGATGATGATGTGGCTGCTGCAGCAACTGATGTCTCTGCTGACATGGCTGCTGCTGATGATTTCTCTGCTGATGTGGCTACTGGAGCAGTTGATGTCTCTGCTGACGTGGCTACTGGAGCAGTTGATGTCTCTGCTGATGTGGCTGTTGCTGCTGTTGTCTCTGCAGAGGTGGCTGCTGATGATGATGTGGCTGCTGCTGCAGCTGATGTCTCTGCTGACATGGCTGCTGCTGCCGCTGCTGCTGCCGCTGCTGCTGATGTCTCTTCTGACGTGGCTGCTGGTGATGATGTCACTGCTGATGTGGCTGCTGCAGAAGCTGATGTCTCTGCAGAGGTGGCTGCTGCTGATGATGTGGCTGCTGCTGCAGCTGATGTCTCTGCTGACATGGCTGCTGCTGATGATTTCTCTGCTGATGTGGCTACTGGAGCAGTTGATGTCTCTGCTGATGTGGCTGTTGCTGCTGCTGTCTCTGCGGAGGTAGCTGCTGATGATGATGTGGCTGCTGCTGCAGCTGATGTCTCTGCTGACGTGGCTGCTGGTGATGATGTCACTGCTGATGTGGCTGCTGCAGAAGCTGATGTCTCTGCAGAGGTGGCTGCTGCTGCTGATGTGGCTGCTGCTGCAGCTGATGTCTCTGCTGACGTGGCTGCTGGTGATGATTTCTCTGCTGATGTGGCTATTGCTGCTGATGTCTCTACAGAGGTGCCTGCTGATGATGATGTGGCTGTTGCTGCAGCTGATGTCTCTGCTGACGTGGCTGCTAGTGATGATTTCTCTGCTGATGTGGCTGTTGCTGCTGATGTCTCTACAGAGGTGGCTGCTACTGCCGCTGCTGCTGATGCCTTTGCTGACGTGGCTGCTGGTGATGATTTCTCAGCTGATGTGGCTATTGCTGCTGATGTTTCTACAGAGGTGCCTGCTGATGATGATGTGGCTGTTGCTGCAGCTGATGTCTCTGCTGACGTGGCTGCTAGTGATGATTTCTCTGCCGATGTGGCTGTTGCTGCTGATGTCTTTACAGAGGTGGCTGCTGATGATGATGTGGCTGCCACTGCTGCTGCTGCTGATGTATTTGCTGACGTGGCTGCTGGGGATGATTTCACCGCTGATGTGGCTGCTGCAGCAACTGATGTCTCTGCTGATGTGGCTGTTGCTGCTGATGTCTCTGGAGACGTGACTGCTGATGATGATGTGGCTGCTGCTGCAGCTGATATCTCTGCTGACATGGGTGCTGCCGCTTCTGCTGATGTCTCTGTTGATCCGGCAGATGATGATGTGGCTACTGTTGCTGCTGATGTCCCTGCTGACGTGGCTGCTGCTGATATCACTGCTGATGCTGCTGTTACTGCTTATGCCTCAGCTGACGTGGCTGCTGATGCCGCTGCTAAGGTGGCTGCTGCTGCTGATGATGATGTCTCTGCTGATGTGGCTGTTGCCGCTGATGCCTCTGCTGACGTGGTGGATGTCACTGCTGATGTGGCTGCTGCTGCTGTTGATGTCCCTGTGGACGTTTCTGCTGATGTCACAACTGATTTGGCTTCTGCTGCAGCTAATGTCTGTGCTGATGTGGCTGCAGACACCATGGCAGCAGCACCAGAGCAGTCAGATGTGGTGGAAGGGGCTGCTGAACATGAGGACCTGGCAGCACAGGGGCTATTGGATGCGTCTCTTGCGCACACCCTCCCTGCTGCCGGTGCTGATCAGATTGTGGTGGAGGCAGAGGTTGCTGCATCTCCAAGCGTGTCCTTTGAGGGCAACGAGGCTGAGAGAGATGCAGTCAACCTTCCCGGGGCACCTGTCCCTGCCCCTCTCGTCCCGTCAGCACCTGCTGCGGCCGACCCCCTGTCACCGCACACTGCTGTGGGAGATGAGCCTGTAGCTGATGCCCCTGAGGCTAGCGTGGTCGATCAAAGTGGGACCACAGGTGGAGAGGGGGAGGCGCAGCAGGTGACGGCAGCTGAGGTGGAGGAGGAAGGAGGTGCTGCTGGGAGTGTGCCGGTGGAGGCGGCTCGTGAGGATGCCATGCAGCAAGCAGGGAGTGCAGAGCAGCAGAGTGATGCTAATGATGAGCATAACGAGCTGTAAAATCTTGATGGTCACTACGGCTGTTGCTTCAGGTGAATTTCCCTTACCACCCGAACCGCCCAATTACCAGCCTTCCTATTTCCCTGGCCTGTCCCCTCGTTTCTTCCAGACTTCCTTGACCTCGGTTTCGCATGCTCACTCGCTTTTATGCCTCGCTCCTGCCCATTTCCTCCCTCCTGCCTCCTCTCTTTCACCCTTTTCCCTCTCCTTCCCTGTTTCCTTGCTTCCTTCTTCCCTCTCCTCCGCACCCTCCCTCCCTCCCTCTCTCCCTCGGTTTCATTTGTGCTCGTTATCAACGTTCCTTTCTTCCTCACTTTCCCCAATCGCTCTGTTTATAACAGGTGCAGAGCAGTCCACCCTATCGCCTGCCTGGGTGTGCTCAAGGTGGCAGTGCTGGTCCAATGATGTCGGGTGCTTCTTTTTTGTAATTGCAATGAATGTCTTTTCCAGTGCGTGCTTGATTCTATGCTGGTCCTAGCAATCCATATTTTCGGTAGCTGAACATGGTACCTGTCATCACACGTGTGCCCATGTAGTTTTTTCGCATAGCAGACATGGGATCTCATATATTCCCCTTTTTTTTGTTCATGTATGATCGGCACATTTCCACAAGCCAAACACTGTTTGTAGGAGGCTGAGATGTGAAGCGATCCAATGTGGTCCATAGGATGTTCAGGATTGAACGTCAGTAATGCGCTTTGTGGGAGTGGTTGATATGAGAATTTTTTTGTAATAAAAAATTTACAGATTATGATTCGACTAGAAGAGGAGTTTGCTGTAAAGGAGACAAACTCCTTCATCTATCGGCAGGCCTTTCAGACCTGCCACCTATGACGACTGCACTGCACACTCCTCTGAGGTCGTGTCGCAATTGGTCTGGTGAACCTTGTCAGAGTGAATGGTGTCAAACATGTGTATTTGTCATGTTTGTATAGACTGTATAGAGTCACCTCTTAGAGGATACAAAACTTAGATATATTTGTGTGTACTCTCACTTTACCATTATTCAATTATTTTGATATGGTATTATCAAAATAATTGAATAATGGTAAAGTGAGAGTACACACAAATATATCTAATTTTTGTATCCTCTAAGAGGTGACTCTATACAGTCTATACAAACATGACAAATACACATGTTTGACACACCCCCTAGACTGCATAGGGGAATACCCTAAACAAGCAACTCAGGGCGGCACTACTAGTCCAACCTCTGAGACAAGGGTCTGAGCGACCGGTCAGAAGGAGTACAGACAAGGCAAGCATAAGAGCAGGGCGGCACTACTAGTCCAGCCACTGGGAGAGGACACAAGTCCAGTCTGAGTATACATATAAAGGACAGTACAAAGTCAAGGTCCTAGCAAGTGAGAGGCTACAGGAACTAGACCAAGCTGTACACAGTGCCGCTGATGATCTTTAGGCGCAAGCGCCTTCGTAAAGATATCAGCCGTGTTGGCACCTGAGGCCAAGTGTACTACGCGAGCCTGACGTCGCTGCTGTAGCTCACGCAGGAGGAAGTACCGCAGCTGAATGTGCTTCGCTCTGCCCTCGAGTCGAGGCTCCTGACACAGGAGGATCATGGCCCTGTTGTCAGCGAACAGGACCGGGGCAGAGCTAGGTCGCTCACCTAAGTCAGTGAGCAAGAAGGTCAGCCAGCGGAGCTCCTGTGCCGCCATGGCACCGGCGTAGATCTCAGCCTCACAGCTGGACTGTGCAACAGACGAGGAGCGAGTAGCTCTCCACGAGACGGCACCTGAGCCAAGGCTGAAGCAGTAGCCCTGGGTAGACCGGAGTGTCTCAGCGTCGTCTGTCCACGAAGCGTCTGTGTGCCCAGTAAGGACCGCTGGCCTGCGTCCTCCTAGCACTAACCCCATGCCCGATGTACTAGCAAGATAACGCAGAACCCTCTTAGCGGCAGACCAGTGCTGCGGTCGGTGTCTGCCTGTGGCCACAAAGCGAGCCAGGATGCTGAGAGGGTATGCGAGATCTGGGCGAGTGCAAGTCATCAGGTACATGAGGCAACCCACCAGCTCTGCGTAGGGGCCGCTGGGCTCTACCAACTCCTCAGGCACTGGAGCGGAGAGCCTGTGGTCTACAGGCAGAGGGGTGGGCTGTGCAGAGGAGAACTGAAGGCTGAACCTCTGAAGGACCTGGCGCACCAAGTGTGACTGAGTCAGGGTGATGGTGCGCGCAGCTCTGTCCCTGGAGATCTGCAAGCCAAGGTAACGGCGCAGTTCTCCAAGGTCAGTGCAGGTGTGTCTCTTCAGCAGCTCTGCCTTCACGGAGGCCAGCGCGTCCCTGTCTGCTGTGGCAAAGACCAGGTCGTCGACGTAAACGAGGATGTAGAACGGAGTCTGGCCAGCACGAACGAAGAGTGAAGGGTCTGCAGAAGACGGAAAGAACTGCAGGTCAGCAAGCGTAGCACGCAGAGTGTCGTGCCACTCACGGGGAGCCTGGCGCAGGCCGTAGACGGGGCGCCGCAGGAGCCACTGGGTCCCAGGAGGGAAGGTGCCAGTAAAGCCCGGAGGGCGGCGCAGGTAGACCTGCTCGTGTAGGCTGCCCTGAAGGAAGGCAGTGGAGAAGTCGAGGGAGTGAAGCTCGTAGTCACGCTGAGCAGCTAGGTGTAACAGAACCCGAAGAGTAGTCATCTTCGGGGTCGGAGCGAAAGTCTGGAAGAAGTCCACCCCCTCGCGCTGACTGAAGCCTCTAGCCACATAGCGCGCCTTGAAGACAGGCGGCTCTCCAGGAGGGCGCTTCACCTTGAAGAGCCAGCGGCCATCGACTACGTTCACCCCAGGTGGGGGAACTGCGTCGACGAAGGTGCCGGTGGATCTCCAAGATGCCATCTCCTGCTCCATGGCAGCTATCCACTGCGAGGCCCAGGGTCCCGAAGTCGCCTCAGCGTAAGTGCGAGGGGTCGGGATGTCGAAAGCGTCTGGGTCACCCTCAGGGACTAGCAGCATGGAACAGAGATGGGGAGCAGCCTCGGAGAGGAAAGCAAGCTCGAACTGGCGGTCCTCCAGGACGTCACTGCCAAGGGCAGGAGCACCCCCGACAGACGGAGGACAGGCAGGGTCAGAGACCAGAGCGGTGGCGTAGTCAAGGCGGCGGGTAGAGGCGAAGTCAGCGACAGCAGCGACAAGAGCGTCAAGGCACGAGACTGGAACAGACGGGTCGGTAACGAGAGAGGCAAGGACCCGAGGAACAAGAGGACGAGCGGCACGAAGGTAGTCGGACAGCGGGGGGGGCGCAACAACAAGGGAGGACGGAGGAGGCGACGGCAGAAGGGGAGGACGAGACGCGTGTGAACGAAGCAACATAGGGTGGGAGCGCAGGACAGGCGAGGCAGGACGAGCACGGGAGGGACGGTGAGACCAGACGTGCGATGGAGGAGTCGGGTCAGGAGACAGGGGAGGGGACACAGGAGGGGAACGAGGGGGGAGACGGGCCGGGGACGAGTCCGGCGGAGGGAAAACAGGGCCGTAGACAGGAAGAGGAGGAGACGGTCGGGGAGGAACCGACGCAGGGTCGGGGGACGGAAGGCCGAGCAGGCGAAGGGCGGACACCGGCGGGGACTGCTGCTGCGGCGGCACAACGGCGACACCTGGACCGCAAGCTGCTCCTCGGCTACCACTGGCACTCTCCACACCCGCACCCCCAGAGGGACCACCCTCAGGGCGACCGGGACGAGCACCCCCAGAGTCAGCGAACGGGGGCTGCGACTGCGGCGGCGGCGGCGGCGGCGGCGGCGGCGATGGCGACGGCTGCAGTGGCGGCAGGGACGGCGGAGGAGGGGACTGGGGAGGGGACACCTGGGGAGGGGCGGCCGGCGAGGACTGCACCGGAGGGCCACCAGAGTCAGAAGACTCCTCAACCGGGTCCACGGACGGAAGGGGGGTGACATGGGAGACACCAGAGGGGGCGGGACGGGGAGGAGGAGGAGGAGGAGGGGCAGGGACTACCGGGGAAGGGGTGACCAGGAACAGGGGGGGGGTAACCGGGGGACCACGGTGGGGGAAGCGGCGGTAGTAGGAGACGGACTCGTCAAAGGTGACGTCACGAGAGTGAAAGAAGCGGTGAGACGGCGGGTGGTAAAAGTGCCAGTCGGACGCGTCAAGGGGAAAACCGAGGAAGACGCAGGGAAGGGTGCGGGCAGTGAGCTTGTCCGTGCCGGAGGCACGGACGTGAGCAAGGCAGCCCCAGACGTGGAACGCAGACGCGTCACCAGGAGACCCAGTCCACAGACGGGTCGGCGAAACCTGCGGCTGCTGAGGGTGCGGCCACAGGTTAAGCTGGTGAGAAGCGTAGCGCACAGCGAACGGCCACAGAAAATGGGGTGCACCGGCATGGACCATGGAGGTGCGAGCGACCTCCATGACCAAGCCGATGCGTCGCTCAGCGACCCCATTCTGCTGTGGGGAGTCCGGTAGGGTGAACGTCTGGGTGATGCCCTCCGCACGACAAAAGCGACCAAGGACACCTGAGGCAAACTCGCCACCACGGTCTGAGTGAAGACGCAAGACAGGGAGACCGCGGTGGACACGCGCAGAGACAAGCCAGGGGATGAGGGCGCCAGGCACGTCGGCCTTGCGCTCCAGGGGAAAGACTGTGGTGTAATGAGTGAAGTCGTCGACAAGCACAAGGAAGTAGCGCTCACGACGCGGCCCAGGGACGGGGGCGGGGCCCCAGACGTCCAGGTGCAGGGTCTGCAGCGGCGCGGCGGTAGGGGGGAACGAGGAGGAGTGAGGGGCACGGCGAATCCGACCCTCGACACAAGGCGTGCAAGGTGGAGCTGGGGAGGAGGGAAACGCGGGGAGTAAACCTGGGAGACCAAGGACAAGACCGTGCTGGGACATGTGACGCAGACGCGGGAGCGCAGGGTGACCTAGGCGGTGGTGCCACAGGAGGGTCGGGTGAGTGAGGGAGCGACAGGAGCAGGCAGCAGCAACCTGGGTAGACACAGCCACCTGAGGGGGCGCTCCAGCCGGGGGGGGCACGGTGTCCAGAGTGAACAGGCCGGACACCGGGTCCCGGGGGAACGTGGACAGGGGGGCACCAGTGGCGGCCTCGGTACAGACAGCATACCGCTCGTGACCAGGGAACGTAGTGGTGACGCCAAGGTCCTGGAGGCAGCCGACACCAACTAGGTTCCTGGAGAACGAGGGGATATGCAGACCTGTAAGAGAGCCCGAAGGAACCGCCGGACAGGGAAGGGTGGTGGAACTGCGCGCGACTACCGGGCCGCCGGAGGGGTCAGCAAGAGAAACGGCAGCAGGAACAGGAAGCGGCGTCAGGGTGGTGGAGTCGCGGAAGAAACACCGAGAGGCGCCAGAGTCCAAGGTGAAGGAAAGCGAAGCCGAGGGGTCTGGCGACGGAACGACGGCAGAAGCACCAAGACTACACAAAGCAGGGGATCCTACGCCTGACGCAGTAGGGGAGGCTAAGCTAGGCACACCTACACTAGGCAACAGTGAGTAATAAGTCGGAAGCACACTAGAGTCATCAGCATACATCACATGCAGAGCAGAAACAATGGCATCCATGTCCATATCAAAGATCTGAATCTGACGACTAAGCAAACTGTGCCAGTCCGGGAGGTCTGGCGACGGGCCGAAACGCTGACGAAAGAGGTCGTCCAGGCGACGAAAGCAGCGGGGAGTGGAGTGACCGATCTTACTGCAAACGAAACCGCGGCGAGGACCGGTCTGGATCT